GCTGAATTATGCTGAATTATGCTCGGTTCCACTATGTATTCACGCTGTACATAAAGGATTGAGAAACCACGCATACACACACGGCCATGCCCTAAGCATAATTTTTTGTCTAAACCGAAAGATTATGCCAACCTTAAACGTTGGAAGCCGTAAAGGCCTTGACAGATTATGCCAATATTTTCGTGAAATTATGCTTTTCGCATTGCTGAAAAAATTCCAGAATTATGCCATTTTTATGCTAAAAGTTATCATATTATGCCGCATTATGCTCACATATGCTGCTAATGTATAATGAGATGTTCTCAAGGGAGTCGTAAACCTACGACTTCCTGGTGCATCTACTTCTACTTGTACTTGTAGAACATGCACAACTGTATGGAATTTGATGCGAACGAGGGGATTATTCCAATTTTATGCGATTCGTATGCAATTTGCCTCCAATTATGCGATTATTCGATTTTGCTAGGCATTATGCGAAAAATTATGCTAGCATAATCTGTCAAGGCCTACCTGAGACAACATTGAGCAAAGATTCGGCGTTCCAAAACAAAACTTAACTCAGTAGAAAATACTAGAGATAGACAACAGCTAATCAAGACATACCGTATTGCCGCAGTGGCAGTGACCAAATACACTAGGTGTGTACATTTACGTTGTGTAAACAAATGTACGCGATCTGTATGTTGCTTTTAAATGAGTATTTGACATCTCTGAAAAATGGATAAAAGCAAGTCGCTGATCAAGCGAACAAGGCAGTCTTTCGGGGACCACCTCCTGAAAGTCATTTCTCCCTCTGACGTCTATTGCAGAACCACAGTCGAGCTCTTCCCCAGAATTAGCACGTGAGCAAGATGTCCGAGATCCTCGCTTGATGGCATTGACTGCGTAACGTTATTGAAGCTCTCCTCCAAATAGCTTCTTTAGTCATCAATCTGTTGAGTCTCTCATTATCGGACCCCGCGAGGGAACTGCTAATGGTCTGCTATGCTGTGGATTGGATTTCGTTATACCGGGAAAACACGGCTCCAACCTCATGTGCCTCAGGAGAGCGGTATGTATCGCAGCTGTGATCGGACAGGGCTTGTGTATTTTCAACACCTCCAGCTCCATCTCCTCCAACATTACCATCATACGGCTCGAGATCCATATGGGCAGATTGCCTGCTTTCAGAGCCGGCCCCTGTAAGTCGTTTCTCCTTTTGATGTCGATTGCAGAACCACACTCGGACCTCCTCCTTCGCCAGATTGAGCATGTAAGCAATCCAAACGAGATCTTCCGGCCGGCGATGGTCTTGGCTACGTTTCGAAGCTCTTCTCCAAATAGCTTCTTTTCTCATCAACAGCATAGAGGAAAATTATACTATATAGATTGAGAAGAGGAAGGGTTACAATAGATTGGGAAGAGGAAGGGTTATATCTTCCGGCCATGGTCTTGGCTATGTCTTGAAATTCTCTCAAATAGCGTCTTTTTCTCATCACTCTGTTGGTCTCTCATTATCGGACACCGCGAAGGAACTGCTAATGGTTTGCTATGCTGTGGATTGGATTTCGGTATACCGTGAAAAACACGGCAAAGAGTAGATTTTGACTGAGTTAAAGCGTTAATATCATGACTGCTGTTCAGATTATTCTCCTTCACTCCAACCTCATGTGCCTCAGGAGAGTGGTGTGTATCGTGGCGTGACCGGACCGGGCTTGTGTATTTTCAGCACCTCCAGCTCCATCTCCTCCAACATTACCATCATACGGCTCGAGATCCATATGGGCAGATTGCCTGCTTTCAGGGCGGCCCCTGTAAGTCGTTTCTCCTTCTGACGTCGATTGCAGAACCACACTCGGACCTCCTCCTTCTCCAGTCTGAGCATGTAAGCAATGCAACCGAGATCTTCCGGCGATGGTCTTGGCTACGTTTCGAAGCTCTCCTCCAAATCGCTTCTTTTCTCATCAGCAGCATAGAGGAAAATTATACTATAATAGATTGAGAAGAGGAAGGGTTACAATAGATTGAGAAGAGGAAGGGTTATGTCTTTCGGCGATGGTCTTGGCTACGTCTTGAAGCTCTCCCTCAAATAGCGTCTTTTCTCATCAATCTGTCGAGCCTCTCATTATCGGACACCGCGAGGGAACTGTGGTTTGGATTTCGGTATACCGTGAAAAACACGGCAAAGAGTAGATTTGGACTGAGTTAAAGCGTTAATATCATGCCTGCTGTTCAGATCATTCTCATTCACTCCAACCTCATGTACCTCAGGAGAGTGGTGTGTAACGTAGCTGTGACCGGACAGGGCTTCTGTATTTTCAGCAACTCCAGATCCATCTCCTCCAAGATTACCATCATACGGCTCGAGATCCGTATGGGCAGATTGCCTGCTTCCAGGGCCGTCCCCTGTAAGTCGTTTCTCCTTCTGACGTCGATTGCAGAACCACACTCGGACCTCCTCCTTCTCCAGATTGAGCATGTAAGCAATCCAAATGAGATCTTCCGGCCGGCGATGGTCTTGGCTACGTTTCGAAGCTCTCCTCCAAATAACTTCTTTTCTCATCAATCTGTCGAGTCTCTCATTATCGTACACCGCGAAGGAACTGCTAATGGTCTGCTATGCGGTGGATTGGGTTTCGGTATACCGGGAAAACACGGCAAAGAGTAGATTTTGACTGAGTTAAAGCGTTAATGTCATGATTGCTGTTTAGATCATCCTCATTCTCTCCAACCTCATGTGCCTCAGGAGAGTGGTGTGTATCGTAACTGTGACCGGACAGGGCTTGTGTATTTTCAGCACCTCCAGCTCCATCTCCTCCAACATTACCATCATACGGCTCGAGATCCATATGGGCAGATTGCCTGCTTTCATGGCGGCCCCTGTAAGTCGTTTCTCCTTCTGACGTCGATTGCAGAACCACACTCGGGCCTCCTCCTTCTCCAGATTGAGCATGTAAGCAATCCAAACGAGATCTTCCGGCCGGCGATGGTCTTGGCTACGTTTTGAAGCTCTCCTCCAAAATTTATAGCTTCTTTTCTCATCAATCTGTCGAGTCTCTCATTATCGGACACCGCGAAGGAACTGCTAATGGTCTGCTGTGCGGTGGATTGGGTTTCGGTATACCGGGAAAACACGGCAAAGAGTAGATTTGGACTGAGTTAAAGCGTTAATGTCATGACTGCTGTTTAGATCATCCTCATTCTCTCCAACCTCATGTGCCTCAGAAGAGTGGCGTGTATCGTAACTGTGACCGGACAGGGTTTGTGTATTTTCAGCACCTCCAGCTCCATCTCCTCCAACATTACCATCATACGGCTCGAGATCCATATGGGCAAATTGCCTGCTTTCATGGCGGCCCCTGTAAGTCGTTTCTCCTTCTGACGTCGATTGCAGAACCACACTCGGACCTCCTCCTTCTCCAGATTGAGCATGTAAGCAATGCAACCGAGATCTTCCGGCGATGGTCTTGGCTACGTTTCGAAGCTCTCCTCCAAATAGCTTCTTTTCTCATCAGCAGCATAGAGGAAAATTATACTATATAGACTGAGAAGAGGAAGGGTTACAATAGATTGAGAAGAGGAAGGGTTATATCTTCCGGCGATGATCTTGGCTACGTCTTGAAGCACTCCCTCAAATAGCGTCTTTTGTCATCAATCTGTCGAGCCTCTCATTATCGGACACCGCGAGGGAACTGTGGTTTGGATTTCGGTATACCGTGAAAAACACGGCAAAGAGTAGATTTGGACTGAGTTAAAGCGTTAATATCATGCCTGCTGTTCAGATCATTCTCATTCACTCCAACCTCATGTGCCTCAGGAGAGTGGTGTGTATCGTAGCTGTGACCGGACAGGGCTTGTGTATTTTCAGCATCTCCAGCTCCATCTCCTCCAAGATTACCATCATACGGCTCGAGATCCATATGGGCAGATTGCCTGCTTCCAGGGCCGTCCCCTGTAAGTCGTTTCTCCTTCTGACGTCGATTGCAGAACCACACTCGGACCTCCTCCTTCTCCAGATTGAGCATGTAAGCAATGCAACCGAGATCCTTCGGCGATGGTCTTGGCTACGTTTCGAAGCTCTCCTCCAAATAACTTCTTTTCTCATCAATCTGTCGAGTCTCTCATTATCGGACACCGCGAAGGAACTGCTAATGGTCTGCTATGCTGTGGATTGGATTTCGGTATACCGGGAAAACACAGCAAAGAGTAGATTTTGACTGAGTTAAAGCTTTTCAATGATGTCTAGGCGCCCCCCCCTACATTTAGTCTGTCGTATGTGTTTGTTCGTCCATATTGTCATGCATTGAGCATTGATTTTTGGGGGAAAAGAAGAATGATGTTCATGTATGTATGTATGTATGTACGTATGTTTGTATGTATATTTTATTGATGTGCGGTCATTCTGGTTACAATACGAACATTAATTATAAACACAAAATTCAAAACAACTCAGATAATTGTTGCGATCACTCGCCCTCGACAAAAGTCGAGCGACGGTGATCATGAATAATATGGTCGATTATGTGTGGACACCTTTAGCACTAATGCTACATTTATCTGACCACATAACGTCAGTGCTACATAAGTAAAAGTCTTTGTGTTGTAATGTATGTTGTGGAATTATCCACCACCAGACCAGCGCAAGGATATAAGTTGGACTATAATTATTAATTTCAATTCCAAAATGCACAAGAAGTTTACAGAAGAAAAAAGCACGACCTCGACCAGGCCAGAAGCAAGAAGAACTGAACACAAGATATTGAAAAACCCTTCTCCTCAACAAGCTGCATCACGTACAACGGAAAACAACTGGCTGCACCAGCGCGTGCATCAGCGCGTGCACCAGCGCGTGTACCAGCACTGCACCAACGTGTGCACCAGCGAAATCAATATCGAAAGTACGTATCAATCATTACATTACGTACAACATGCGCAAGAGGGTTACTCTACTTCACCTCTCCCCCTGGTGGTATGCCAAAGAAAATACCACCACAAATACTAAATAGCGCCACAAAGCAAAACTAACGGAAGCGCTGAGGGGGTGCAAGCGAACCACGCTGACGGAGGCCATATGGGCGAAACTGATACGGAGCAGGATCATCGGCAGGGGCTCGAAGCGGCACATAATTAGGATCACGGGGATCAAACCCAGACCCAGCATCAGGGACAGCACCCGGAGCAGGCACATCAACAACAGCATCTGCAGCAGGCACATCAATAACAGCATCTGCAGCAGGCATATCAATAACAGCATCTGCAGCAGGCACATCAGCAACAGCATCTGCAGTAGGCACATCAGCAACAGCATCCGCAGCAGGCACATCAGCAAACACCTCAGCACCAACATCACGCTTCAGCAGTTCAACATCCACCACTTTACCATCGATGACTTGCTGGCGAGTCGAAACAATCCGAGGATCTGCATTCTGAGCAGCAGATACTCTGTCCAATGAGAATGGACCAACGGTCACCACCGCAGCGGTGACGGACGGTGCAGTCCGAGCAAGGAGCGTCTTGCCACATCGGATCCAGCTGCTGGGAACACGGGTCAATTGATCCGCCTTGTTCTGCTGACTGCTGATCCACTGGACCTTGACCGTCAAGCCCGTGACAGCGACGAGATCAGTGATAATCTGGAGACGGCGCTGCACAAGTACCTGCTGCAGGCCGCTGACGCGAACACGAGACACATTGCCAAGCACCGATTGCAACCAAGCAGCCACAGTCTTGGAATCGGTGAATAGCGTGAGCTCCTTCACTTGCCACTGCACGGCAAGGTTCAATCCCTTGATCACGGCGTCAAGCTCAGCGATGTTAATGTGTCGCCGGTCGTCCTTCTGCCGCAGCCAGCAGCCATCCTCGACGATCATACCATCGGCCTGAATGACAGCACCATGTGCGATGTCCGAAGCATCACACCACAACGACCACTGTGCGCCTTCAGGAACTGACCACACACCTTGCGCAGGGTCATCGGTCTGCAGACGGTGAATGACTTCCGCACAACAAGCGACGACTTCATGAGACACTGGATCATCCCATCCAGGCTGAAGGCTAGACAGACGCTTCAGATAACTGCACGCTGGGCGCAGCCAGGAGCCGACAGGATAGTGGCTGGTCAGCTTGCCACACCACTTGAAAATCTCGCGTCGTGTGATGGCATTGGGCTGACAGGTCGGCATGACGTCACCACGACGCTTCCACCTCACTTGGCCATCTGCAGACTCTGACAGCTGCAGACCAAGTACCCTAGCAGAGACGACTGGCTCCGCTGGCTTGGTGGGCAACCCATACTGCGACAACTGATCGGTGACAGCACGCAGACGAGGCTTCGGAACATACAAATCGTCGACACAGTTGTCCACATCAGCATACGCACGGAGGACCCACTTGACGATTATGTCCATGAATTTGGGCGCAATCGATAGACCGAAGCCCATCCTCTCCATTGCAAACAGCTGGCCCTTCCAGACGACCGTTTGGAACTTGGCGAGAGCTGGCGCGATGCGGATGTTGAGGTAAGCCTTGCTGATGTCCAGCAACACGTGGCTGTCGGCGTTGCCAATAGACCTCCACTGACGCAACTTCTCTTGGCAAACAGGCACGTCCAAACCTGGATGCGACACAATCAACTTGTTGAGTTGCCGGTAGTCCAAACACGGGCGGACAGGGGTGGACTCCTTGTGCGTCTGGGCCACCGCCAACAAGGGCAACACAGCACCAGGCTCACCATGGACTGCTTGGTCATGGGGTACCAACCATCCATTGCGGATCCACATGTCCACTTCCTCGCAGAACTGTGACTCCTGGTCTGTAGACAAGCTATGCCGGGAATATTCACCAATGCCTGACCCGACTGGACGCATGGGGGGTTCGTCTTTCCATGCCCACGTAAGCTCCCAGTAGCCAACATCAGCGCGCCAACGAACTGACCCATCCGCAGTGGTCAGAATGACATCTTCCCCGTCATGCTCCACGGTAACATGGCGTAGCAGCTGAGGCGAATCACCATCATCACTGCGCACGTCCGAACTGGGCACATCTGCGGAAGCTGAAGCTGCTTGACCGAAAGATGCTCCGACGAGCTTGGAGTCCGCGTACTTGAGGTCGACTCCGCCATGCTGCGATATCAGGTTGAGGCCCAGAAGCACGTCCGCATTCACAACACTCAACTCCGGAACAATTGATACAGACACAGACGAGAAAGGCAGAAATACCGTCTCGTCCACCCGCTCGACATCCAGAACAGCCGAGCCCAATACCTTGAGTGTATTGCCGTCAACGGTGATGATATCAGGCGTTGACGTCGTCACCTCCAGTGCCAAGTCCTCTGCCAACTGACGAGACACCAACGTGTGTGTTGAGCACGAGTCGATGGCAGCAACACAACGCCGAAACGCCACAGCATCACAACGCTTCACAGGCAAGAAGATCCGTGGCAACGCTACTGCGGGCCCATCAATCTCCGACGCGACGCAGACATGGCCGACATCCTCACTCGCAGCTGCTCCAGCACACCCCTTCCGCTGGGGGCACGCACTGCGGACGTGGCCTCGCTCCTTGCAACCATAGCAAACAGGTTCGCCGGATGCTGGTGACTTAGGTAGCTGCGGGCAATTCCGCTGAATATGGCCGACCTTATTACACCGGTAACACAACACAGACCGCTTGCTAGGTCCGCTGCTACTAGACGACGTCGCTGCAAATGTCGCAGAACGTACACCCTGTACTGGTGCAGCCGACACCTGGGTTGCAGAAACCAACACGCGAACTTGATCCGCACACTGATCCACAGTCATACAGTGCAAGGCATGCTGGAGGCGCACCTGACATGCCAGCACCTGCGGAATGCCGAGCAGAAACTGCTCCAGGAGCACTGGGTCACTTGACTTCCCTGACGAAGTGTCACGCGCTTCCACATGACCACTCTGGCGGAGAAACCTCCTCAAGTCGGCCAAGTAGACGTCAACGCTCTCTCCCCGACGAAGAGTTCTGGCCACAAACTTCTTATACGCCTCTGCTGGCGTGATGCAGAAAGCGGCTCGGAGCGCACCATGGACAACCTCCTCACTGGTCTGCTCGACGTCCGGCAGCGCACTCCAAACAGTGAACGCGTCCTTGTCTAGGAATAAAGGAAAGTGGTCCATTCTTTTAGCTTCCGACGTCCATTTCTGTATCCGTGACACCACGCGGAATTTCAGCAAGAACGCTTCCAGGTCGTCATCTCCTCCACGATACGGCCGCAACAAGGAATGTCCAGCAGACGACGCCATTACTACTGAAACAGGCAGTGAAATAACAAAATTAATACTCTCCGAGAACCTAACCACAAAGCGCCAACGGTCCACTCAAAACCGGGTTTCGGTACCACGTTGTTGTGGAATTATCCACCACCAGACCAGCGCAAGGATATAAGTTGGACTATAATTATTAATTTCAATTCCAAAATGCACAAGAAGTTTACAGAAGAAAAAAGCACGACCTCGACCAGGCCAGAAGCAAGAAGAACTGAACACAAGATATTGAAAAACCCTTCTCCTCAACAAGCTGCATCACGTACAACGGAAAACAACTGGCTGCACCAGCGCGTGCATCAGCGCGTGCACCAGCGCGTGTACCAGCACTGCACCAACGTGTGCACCAGCGAAATCAATATCGAAAGTACGTATCAATCATTACATTACGTACAACATGCGCAAGAGGGTTACTCTACTTCATGTAGTCAGGTAAATGTACATGTGTTGTAGCATGTCCAACGTTGCAACTGGAGCTGTTACACAAATCCGTAACGACGATTTACGAGGAGGTTTTTGTTTAGAAATCATGGAGAGCCATACTACTAGACGTACGCGAAGTGACAGACGAAGAGGAGTTCTGTTAATAAAAATTGTAATATCATAGCCATAGGCTCTGGCCATAGCATCTCTTGCGATACCGAAGTAAACACTGATGATGCTCTCTCCGCACTTACGTTTCATCAGTCGAATGCCCTGGAGCGTCTACAGCGCTATGCAATACAACTACTACCTCCGCCAAGCGAAACTTGGCGCGTTTTTTTGATTTTTTTGTGTTGGTAACAAAACTACTTCACAAGGCTGTGAGGTACGACCTACTTGTAGCTCCATGCAACCGGGTGCAGGAAGCCAAGCGATGAGCTGGTGAGTGGCACATGGCTCAGACTCAGTCAGAGGCAAGCGTGTCTCTCATGTACCAGCAAAACCGTGCGCGCGTCCATTCTGCGAAGGAGAATTGTCGTGCTTTCGCGTTGCAATGCAAAACCAAGGAGTTCTCTCTCTCTCTCACCTCTTGGTCACTCCGCCAGCACAGAGTCTATGCGTCCATGCCAAACAATACTAGCGTCTTTCAACAGCCACCAGAGCGATGCGTCTCTGGTGGCTAAGGAAAATCGCCAGGAATTGCTGCAGGCAATTTTGGACAGTTGGCGAGAATACCCTGCAAAACAGTTGGAGTCCAGGCGCTTGTGGAGGTGTTGCACAGTTCTTACCACGTCAATCTGGATAGTGGCGGCGGAAACGACTACCCTCGACACCGTGGCTCGAGCACAGCACACAGGAGCGACATCGAGATTTTCAGAGCGATTACAACAGAGGTACTTGCTGCAACTGAATCCGCTCTAGTCGCACCTTCTTCTCAAAACAGGGACATTTCCTCGCCAGAAGAAACTGCGATCTCTGAATCAGAGGAGAGTTGTTCAGCCTAACAGATGCCGCTAATGTCCTTGTTGAGCAATACAAAGTTGAATTTTGGTGAGTCAATCATTAGTTTTGATTGTAAAGTGTGAGTTATTTCGAGTAATTTGAAGTAAAAAAAACGCGCCAAGTTCCGCTTGTCGGAGGTAGTACTTGTATGCCTCTGTCTCCCAATCTTCCAGCCATGCCACCACTCCTCCCTGTTGCATGTCAGTCTGCCAACACTGAAATCACGCAGACAAGTGAAACAATTCGTACTAGCTCATTCCATGCACCAAAATTACGCCCCGCACAAAAAAACAACCACTGCACACTTCCCCATACACAGTACCAGAGAGTCGAGGCACCTCAGAGCTTTTTCTCTGCCCGTTGCTCGCACCACTCGCTATTTCTCCTCTCCACTTCTTCGCTCAATGAATTTGTTCAATAGTCTACCCCGAGACATAAGATCCATTCAGAACCCTTCCTCATTTAAGAAGCAACTCTCTGCTCTCATCGAATCTAGCATATGCTCTTGCTCTAATCTCCAACTAGGTCGAATGTGCTGATTCCTATTCTGTACACTCCTTTCGATCAACTCTTGAACTATCAGTATCATCATATTTTCAACTGATGTTACCTCATAGCCTCATATAATCACCATTATTAATTACATCTATCTTATTGGACAACGGCCACCGTGCGAAATAATAATAATAAAAAGACAGCGTAAGCAGAGGATGTAGAGCGGCGGTAAAATAACTTCTGACCACGTGCGCAGGAATTCTGAGAATGGGAGGGATCTCGATCTGAGATCGTCTCTCAGGAACTGGCCTCACGTGAGCTGTTTCAGACGAAGACATTATTCACAGAGTGGAAGCAGTGACAGCTTGCCTGCAGGCAGGAATATCATTTCCCATGATAAGCTTCCAGCACCCAAATCATCACCAAAAATATATTATAATGGTTTCACCTCTCACTTCATGGATAGGCAAGGGAAAAGATCTCATACACCCATTATTCAGCCACAGCCCTGCATCAAAGTTGCAATGGAGAGCCGCCAATGGAGACGCGGTCATGTCTTATAGTTAGTTCAGTTCAGTTTGTTTATTTACGGATTCTCTAGAGGTAAATGGATACCTATCATGGCCCGCAGTGCTGCCAACCTTCCGTATTTTTCCATATTTATACGGAAAATCGTCCGTAGTACGGAATTTGAGTTAAATGGTACGGAAAATTGAAGAGGATCGATCAGCTACAGGTACGGTATGTACATGTATGTAGAAGCATGGCAAGCGCTAACTGAGCGATGAATATCCCTGTTCCAAAGCGAGTGTATGCCCTGGTTCGACTACATGAAGCACAAAATAACATGTCCTGGTACAAGTCACACATGTTTTGCACTAGCAAATTCAACCACTGACAAGCATGCGAGTGTCACAAAAGCACAATACAAGCAAGGGAGTAATACAATACTCCCTGATACAAGCAATGCACAAGGAATTACATTGGTAGTACGGAAAACAGCGGCAAAATACGGATGATCAGAAGTCACAGTACGCAAAACAGACTCATTTGGTTGGCAGCACTGTATGGGAGTCTCACCAAACCAATAGAGATACACGCCGCGCTGCTAGATCAGTCTCAATATGAGACAAGTGAGCTGTTATTGTGGTAGTCGGTGGGGAAATGCACGAATGTGGGAGTCATCCGCAAAAAGGCTTAAATAGGAGTGGGCCTAGATGAGAACCCTGCGGCACTCCTGCCCCCAACGGATGTATGAAACTTGATTACCAATTTGAACATGAATTGAGCATCCACAGACAAAGGATCCGAGCCATTTGACTGAAGATGATGAGCAGAATGAGGAGAGAAGATGCAACAGGACCGAATGGCTGGCTTTATCGAATGCCTTTGATAAGTCCATGTAGAGTCCGTCGCACAACGATTTGTTTTCAGAGGCTCTTCTTATTGAGGACGTCATTTGAACTAGTTGGTAAGTGGTGGACCGCTGCCGGCGAAACCCGAACTGGTGCATACGGAGGAGGGTGTTGGCCTCCACAAATGTAGTCATTTGCTTGCTCATCATACTTTGGAACACCTTCGCAAATCCGTGGAGCAGGGAAATGGGGCGATAAGAGCCAGGACGGCCTTTGCTTCCTGAACCTTTGTACACCGGGATAACAATAGAGGTTTTCCAATCTTATGGTACCATGCCAAAGGTGATACTGAGGTTAAAATAATATAGCTGTCAGTGAATCGGAAATACTGGGAGCTGTTTCTCGAAGGATTTGATTAGGGAGGGGTCCAGACGTGCGTTTGAACCGGGAAGGTGTGATAGGGTCCAAAGAACACTAGTGGTACTCAATTGCTGAAATTCGAAGGGCTCCATTATAGTAATCGTATAGTGCTAAGAAGTGGTGGAGCTCGTGAGAGAGATTGTAGCAGCTTCAGAGGCAGATCGACTATATGCATCCGTTCCTCGAAGTTTGACAATCTGCAACCTTTCTTCCATTTTTGTTCCAAACCATGAGCATTATAGCCTTGTTGAAATATTATAATCAGCATATGAGGTAGTTTTTGGAGCATTATGATTAGCATTATACGAACATTTTCGGAGCATTATCCGCTGGACCCTACCGGCCGGTATAGGTAAGGGAAAATACTTTGTCTCTACAAATAATAATATGGTGCTACTCCTCGCCAAAGTTTCATAATGTGCTCAAGTGGCGGTGTCACTATACTGTACATGTACATAGATTTTCTTCAAAGACATTTAACTGAGGATTTCCCACAGCGTTAATAGAATACTACTAGTACATGTAAATGTATGCTGCACATTTCCATCAAAATAGGTGTATGTAGTTGTGAGTGTGATACTTCTTTTACATTGTGACGGATTTTGTTTGCTTTTTGCCTTTGAACTTTAGCGGCATAGCTTTTCCAATAGAGCCATGAGAACATTAGAAACCCTTTGAGAAGGGTATTGTTGACTTAATGCGACCATGCGTGTGTAACATATCTCATCTCGAAATATTGGCAAAATAATTTATTTATCTATTTGGTGCAGCTGAGAGCCTGTTGCCGGAATGGCGGTATTTTCAATTATTATTATGGTAGAAAGGAAGAGGACATATGGATACAAGTTAAGAGTAACTCTCCATCACTGTAACCAGATACAGTCAGAAAGTGCAACAACTAGGCACAAAGCTGACAGAGTACTGAGACATTCGACGTCCTGACACCTAGCTTCAACACATCTCCGTAGCGCTAACCGACAGCCTTCCAACTCGGAAGGCTCAATGTTATGGAAAGACCAAAGAGGGGAATGTAAGCGCAACGAAAACGAGCACAAGCTACAGTCCCAACGGAACAAAGAATGTCGATTGTTACTGGATGATGACGAGACCAGTAGGATACTTGACAAAGCGGTCTAACTACAATTTGAAGCAGCAAAGCAGCACACCACCCAACTTAGGTGTCGGTTAGCGCTACGGAGATGTGTTGAAGCCAGGTGTCAGGACATCGAATGTCTCAGTACTGTGTCAGCTGTGTGCCTAGTTGTTGCACTTTCTGACTGTATA